AAAAAAAAAAAAAAAAAGAGTTTAATGCAATCATCCAGATAAACCTCATAGGAAGAGGAGGAAAAAAAAATGGGTGTTAAGGAATATGACAGACTGAAAAATCTTAAATTGGGCCAAAGTTTGAACAGGAAGGCTGAGACTAGTATAAAATGAACAAAGACATGGGCACAAACTACTACAGTACTTATATTACATAATTATATTGTCATGCATTCATTTATTCACTTACTCATTAACTCAATAATAAAGTCCAAATAAGAAATCAGGTGCCATGTAAGAAAGTAAAGGCAAATTTATCCATCCAACTTTGTACTCGATTGCATGTGATCCCATATTGGTGAATGCAATTTTAGTGTTTTTATTTCTACACTTAGTACAGAGCTGACCACACACAGGTATCCAGTAAATTACTATCTTCCCACCCTCTCTCTGTATTGCACTGGACACATACCATATAGCAGGTGGGGACTGAGGAACATGAAGAAAAATGCTGCCACAGACCTGATTCTTTTCAAAAGATAACAGGGGATAGGAGAGGTCAAGGAAATTTCAATCAGTAAGTCAGGTCAACAAATACTTAAAGGATTACTATGAATTTCCAACTTCATTCCAGATGTAGCATTCCATTTTCTATTCTTAAGAAAATTTAAGACAACTTAATAGCCAGGATTTTACTTGGCATAAAAAGACCTGTATTGTTTGCACCCCAAACAGATGGAATTTAACATTCCAAACAGGTCAAGTGAGGGATCAACCTGTAAAGCCAGGGTTTTTCCACTAGAACAACTACTCTGCACAGAATGTAACAAAGTTGGATATTCATCACTGGAAAAGACTCCTAGCTTTGTGCAAGTTTCTCTCAAGCAACATTTTAGGCCATAAAGCTACTGCCTAAACTGCCTGCCTCCAACTTCTTTTACGGAAAAAGTAAGTATCTTATTTAAGCCATTACTGTTTTGGAGTTTTCTCTCCATCATAGCCAAACCTAACCCTAAGTTGTAGACAAGTTAACAACGACCTCCTAAAAAGCAATTCTCACTGGAGGAATACACTGTGTAAACCTTAACCCTCAATGGCTCGGTTTCAATCATTCATTCCCTCACGCATTTATTCCCTCGAGGGGGCTGATGCTCATTCGCTCACCCAACAAAGGATTAGTGACGTCCAGCTGCACCGACAAGCTGCAGGGCGGAGAATGGGATTCCAGTGTGGCCTGTGTCCACAGACCAACGGTTTCCTGGAACTCATAATGTATGCGCTCCATGTTCAAATACTCCATCCACAGATCCTAGAATTGAACCACAGGACATTAGCTTTCATGGATGAATCACATATTCACATATAAAACTAAATTTTTTAACTAAAAAGTAGACCAGTAAGGTTTGGCACGAGGTGGTCCATACCAAGCTCTCCAGTATTAGGATGAATCACATTTAAAATGGACACTAACAGGGGTGCCTGGGTGGCTCAGTCAGTTAAGCACCCGACTCTTAGTTTCAACTCCAGTCATGATCTCATGGGTCTGAGATCTCACCCCGCATCAGGCTCCATGCTCAGCAGGGAGTCTGCTTGAAGATTCTCTCCCTCTGACCCTCCCCCCACTCCCACACATGTGTGCTCCCTCCGTCAAATAAATAAATCTTTAATATATATATATACACACACACACACACACATGCATATATAAAAAACAGAATGGACACTAACAATCTTAGCAGGTGTTTGATTATGTACCAAGATCAGAAAAAATAATTTTAACAGCCCCACCAACTGTACATTTATAAATTATATACACATAGTAGTGAGCTAATAAATTATAAAACATGAGTAAAAGTCAGAAATTTTAAAGAGATAAATAACAAATATATTGGAAAATCGTTGAATCTGGATTAGATCAGGCCCTTGGTCCCAATACCACTCTACAGGAAATACAGGGGACAGAGAGACATATTAAACCACACTAACAAAGATAAAATCTATAAAATCCAGACTGTGGGGAAACTATATGAACGAACTATCCAGTTTCTTCAACAGACAAACTGCGAGGGGAAGAAAAGGAATAAGGTGAGGACCAGGAGATTGAACAGATTTAAAGAGCTATCAACCAATCACAAAACGAGGCTCCTGACTCAAAGTAAAAAAACGAAAATAAAACTTTTATGACATTTATGAGGTAACCAGAAACTGGAACACTTAGATATTTGATATTAAGAAACTGCTGTTAATATTTTTCAGATATAAATGCTATTGGGTTAGAATACTTTTTTAACCCTCATCTTTTGAAATCTACATGCATCAAATGCTTTCTAGGATTATTCCAAAATAACATGGGTGAAGGGAGTGGACGGGCTATAGATAAAATTCGACACCTGGTACCCAGCAGGCAGAGGGAGGAGAAGGGCATGTGTGTTGCACTATTCCATTTTTCTGTATGATCAAATTTTTTCTATTACAAGAGAAAATAAATAATAGATAAAAGGAGAAAAAACAGGAGTTTCAGTATTCTCTTCCCACATTCCAATGAACTGTCTTGCATATTTTGAACTACGCCTACTTCACTTTGGTGATCAATACATATCAGAACGGGAGACCGTCTTCAGTGAAAAGAAATGGCAGCTCTCCATGAACACTAAAAACTGTATCAAATAGTAGTAACGGGTGATCAGATATGGACTATGGACTATAGTTTTGTGACCAATTTATTTTTCTGATTTTAAGTGTTTAAAGGATTCCTCTAAACCTACAAATGTCTCTGGTTTCTCAATGAGCACACTGCCATGTAGTCCTAAATCATTACTTCCAAACCACGGCATGAGGCATTCCAGACTCAGAGGAGAAACTCCGAAGTCATCTCGGTC